ATATATATATATATAAAGAATATGATTATTTAATGTATTAATATAAATATTATGAGTATGTATATGAAGGGCACATGTATGTGCAAGCTTTCTCAACTAATTTCATTTACTTTTTTTCCTATCATTGAATGCTGGAATTTAAGGAGGCCCCTTCTTTCTGCCAAATTAGGTGAGCTTAATATACTCTTTCTTTCTTTTTCACAAATTAAGACATTTATTAAATAATAAAAAAAAAAAAAACAATACAAAACACCATTTATTTCCCGCGAGTCACGTAAGAAAAACTACACCCAAATGCAAGAAAGCAAAGAACACACACACACACACACATTACACATAGAATCTAATAAATGAATTTTTAGTTGAGCCGCGTTATGGGATGATTTTCACAACTATGTGTAACGTGCGTGTGTGTGTGTATGTTTTTTCTATAATATTTTTGTGCTCTGATGAGATTAAGAGATCATCTTTAGATGTGGGGTTTATCTTCCATGCATTAAGACTTATATTAATTATGTCTAACCATTCGGCGGGTTGACCGGTCGTAATTGACACGTGTACTGACACGCGTCATGCAATAAGACTTATATCAAATGACTTCCTTATGGAGCCATCCATAACTTCATATAATGACACGTTCACACACATTGTAAACGTGTCATTATATGAAGTTATAGATGGCTCCATATGTGTAAACGTGTCATTATATGAAGTTATGGATGACTCCATAAGGAAGTCATCTGATATAAGTTTTATTGCAGGACACGTGTCAATATACTATTTGTGAATAACTATGGATGACTTCATAAACCGAGCTATCGACGTCTCCACAGCAAAACCGCTGAAAAGACATACTTTCTTAATGTTAATTCTTTGAGTTTGACGTTTCGGTTGGAAAGTACGAATATGTGTTGAAAAAATATCGCTATTTCGTCGCTAAATCTGTCTAACAACACTCTTATTTACTATTTTTTTTAATAAATATACATATTTCATGATGTGATGTCTTTTATAATTTCAAAGGCAACACAAAATAAAAAAAAAAAAAATCATCTCACAAAATAAATAAAATAATTTGTTCTATATATATGATGAGTAGACCCGAATATCTGATTTTTGTTATTAAGTAATTATAATAATAATGACTATATTACTATCACTAGCCCAACGACCTCTGCTGACATTTAATGTTTCTGGTTTAGAGCTTCAATTAATTGTGCCTTCGAAACTAACTCTATCCCCTTCTTTTCATCTCCTCCGGCCTCGGGTATGCTAAATAAAGTGTTTAATAAATTTTTTCCAAATATAATTTGCCGATAGTTACACGTAATTTGGGAAATGCTACGGTCCTATTACGGAATTATTCTGTCGGGGTTTGTAATCGTTAGATCATTATGTAACCGTCGGGGATAGTTGATCTAACGACTACAAATCTCGACGAAGTAGTTACATAACGAGAATGTAGCACCTTCCACGTAATTTAACCAGAACTTTCGAAGAAAAATTAATCCCTAAGTTATTCAAATTTATCGGTCTCATATCTACACATTAATTAACCTATTATTCTGAAATACTTTACTAACACCATCTTAAATACTTTGTTCTACTATAGTGTACTATACTTTGGAGTAGACTAATAAAATTTAAATTTCTATCGCCGCCTTATATTTTATTCTACATGAAATATATTAGTACAAAACAATTATAAATACAACAATAAAATCAAAACATAATTTTTTTTAACAGAATAAATAATTTTACTAGTATATACTTTGTCAAAATAATATATTAAAATCAATTAAAAAGAAATAAAATTGAAAAGAAAAAAATTGTAACATGATGAACAATATCACACTACAAGCGATACTGTTCACATCTTCAAATAGGGGTGAGCAAAATCGAGCTAAAACCGAAAAATCGTACCGAACTGAGCTATTCGGTGCGGTTAAGTGCGGTTTTTGGTAAGTTCGGTTGTCGGTGCAGTTTGGGTTTTGAAAAACTGCAAGTATTTCGGTGCGGTTTGGTTTTCTGTCCGAAGGGTGCGGTTTTAACCGAACCGCATCGAATGTCATAAAATGTCACTTTTTTATTTTTTTTAATAAAATATCATCTTAATTTTTATAATTTTACTTACATAACATTAATTGGTAGTTATATTTTTTAATTTCGGTTAACTGAAAAACCGAACCGCACCGAACCGAAAATTTTCGCTTCAGTGCGGCGGTGCGGTTCGGTTTTTCCTTCTATAGCGGTGCGGTTCGGTGAAAAAAATTTCAAAATTCGGTTTCGGCTTTTTATTGGTGCGGTGTGGTTTTTGACCGAATCGCATCGATGCTCACCCCTATCTTCAGAGTAGTAGTGCGAAAATATAGCGCCCAACGAGTTTTTTTCGCACAACTATGAAGTAGAGTAGCATTGTACGGTGTACAACAACATTAGGCCTGCTCTAAAATATAATTTTCCAAATTTAAATATATATATGTGAAATAAAAATTGAATTTTTTTTCAACAGTCAGGCCGACCTCCTATTTATTGCTCGCTCACACAATTATTTCTCTATAAATCACTTTATTTCTTCACTTGTCACTCACAGTCACAGATTTCTCCTCCCATTTTCTCATTTTTTTTTCTTCCCTTCATTTTTTTTCCCATCAAATTCTTCACCACATTATACCCAAAATCCATTCTTGTTTCCAATTCTTTTTCTCCATACTTTTGACATATATACGACACCATACTGTTTTTTTTCATTTTTATATCGTATTCTTTTGGAGACTTCCATACATATAGAGGTTAGTTAATTCTTGTTGATGTTATTTTAACTGATTAATAGACACAACTCAGAAGAGACAGTACCTCAAATGGACATATCAACGGCCATGATGATGCTTGCCTTCGTATCAGCTTACCTGATATGGTTCCGCTCCATGGCTCGATCCCTGCGTGGGCCCAACGGGCCCCGGCTGTGGCCCATTCTCGGCAGCCTCCCGGGCCTTATCCGAAACGGCGGGCGCATGCACGAGTGGATTGCCGACAACCTCCGAGCCTCCGGCGGCACCTACCAAACCTGCATCTTGGCAATCCCTTTCCTGGCCCGAAAGCAGGGACTCGTGACTGTCACGTGTGACCCGAAAAACCTCGAGCACATCCTCAAGACCCGGTTCGAAAACTACCCCAAGGGCCCCACCTGGCAGGCCGTTTTTCACGACCTGCTCGGACAAGGGATCTTCAACTCCGATGGTGACACGTGGCTATTCCAGCGCAAAACGGCCGCCCTTGAGTTCACCACGCGTACACTCCGCCAGGCAATGGCCCGGTGGGTGACCCGGTCTATACAGGACCGTCTTTGCCCGATTCTCCGGGAGGCCCAGATTCAGGCCCGGCCCGTTGACCTCCAGGACCTTCTTCTCCGGCTTACCTTCGACAACATATGTGGCCTGGCCTTCGGCAAGGACCCACAGACGCTGTCCCCGGGCCTGCCGGAAAATGCTTTTGCCGCTGCATTTGACCGGGCCACGGAGGCTTCCCTCCACCGGTTCATCTTGCCGGAGTTTATTTGGAGGATGAAGAAGTGGCTGCGGCTGGGGATGGAGCTGACCTTGAGCCGGAGCCTGAGGCACGTGGATGAGTACCTGACGGATGTAATCGCGGCACGGAAGCTGGAGCTGGTGGGTGGCGGCGCTGCCCAGCATGACGATTTGTTGTCGCGGTTTATGAAGAAGAAGGAGTCCTTCTCGGACAAATTTCTCCAGGAGGTGGCGCTGAATTTCATCCTGGCTGGCCGGGACACGTCTTCGGTGGCCCTCAGCTGGTTTTTCTGGCTAATGACGCAAAATCCCCAAATTGAGGAGAAAACCCTAATTGAGATCTGTTCTGTTCTGAGAGAGACCAGGGGAGGCGACGTGGCGAATTGGGTGAAGGAGCCGCTCGAGTTCGAGGAGCTGGACCGGCTGGTATACCTGAAGGCGGCGCTGTCGGAGACGCTCCGGCTGTATCCGTCGGTACCGGAGGACTCGAAGCACGTGGTGGCGGACGACGTGCTGCCGGACGGGACGTTTGTGCCGGGGGGATCGAACGTGACCTACTCGATCTACTCGGCGGGGAGGATGGAGCGGGTTTGGGGGGCCGATTGCCTGGAATTCCGGCCGGAGAGGTGGCTGTCCGACGACGGGGGGCGGTTCGAGGCGAAGGACCAGTTCCGGTTCGTGGCGTTCAACGCGGGGCCGAGGGTGTGCCTGGGGAGGGACCTGGCGTACCTGCAGATGAAGTCGGTGGCGGCGGCGGTTCTGCTACGGCACAGGCTGGCGGTGGCGGAGGGGCACCCGGTGGAGCAGAAGATGTCGCTGACGCTGTTCATGAAGGACGGGCTGAGGGTGGAGGTGCTGCCAAGGGATTTGGGCCCGATCGTGGAGAAGATCGGTAAGAATTGAATTTTGTGCGGGGGGTTGAAAATGAATTTTTTTGTGTGAATATTTGAGACGCATGAATATATTAATAAATATGGGAAAATGATGGGTGTTATGCGGCGGCGCGTGGCGTGCACGCGCCGGCGGATTATCTTCGTGGTTCAGTGTGACGGATGCCTTTACTGGGTGATGCGATCTGATTGGTCAGCAGCGGGAAATTAAATTAGTTTTGGTTTTGTGATTATTGATGAATTAAGTTAAGGTGCCCCTCACAGTGAATTACGATAATTGGGTCTCCAATTTCGACTTAATATGTTATTTTTTTTTTTTTTTTTTT